GGGGGGGGGCGGCTTAAAGGGGCCGCGCGGGCTTAAAGGGGCCGCGTCTTTGCTGCATTTCCCACCCCCCCACATCCCACCTCCCCTATCCCAGACCCTCCGTTGGGAGGGGTCGGAGCTGCTCCCGGTCGGCTCGCTCAGGGCCTGATGGGGTCGGTTCCCCCCGCGACGGAGGAGGGACCTCGTGGCCTCCCAGAGGGGCGGGGGGTCACCCAGGGGAACGGGACGAGCGCGGAGGGCGGCTGTACCGCGGCCAGGCCCCTGGGGGACGGCGCTAGAGGGCAGGCGGCAGGGAGGGGGTAGCTGGGACACTGGGAGGGGTCCTGGGGAGCCCTGAGCTGCCTCCGCGGGCTGCAGGGACACGGACAGCTCACGCTGGGAGCAGCAATGGGGCCTGCAGGAACTACAGTGGGAATTTGGGCTCAGGGATGCATTGAGAGGTAGAAACAGACACACGGACACACGGACAGGCAGATACACGGGCACACAGCACACAGGCACACGAAGACACACGGACATGCGGACACACGGACATGCATGAATCGTGGGGCTGCTCCCACTACCGGGCTTCAGCAGCCACTGCCACCGCACGCTGCCCGCCCACCCTGCTGGGACAGGGGAGCAGCAGCTGCTGCACGCCCCACAGCGCCTCAGTTTCCCCGCCGCACACGGCAGCGCTGGGCCGGTCCCACTGCAGCCCCCTCCCCACGCACCGCAGCCAGGCCGGGCCGCCGGCATGCGCTCAGCCCGGAGGAATGCACCAAATCACTGCCAGATGCGCGCGGCCCCCCGCCCGGCTGGGCCCCCCCCCCCCCCAGCCGCCCCCAACCCTACAGCACCGGGGGGCCACGGCTGGCCCCGTGCCCCTCCGGGATGCGTCCGTGGGGTGGGGGCCGGCGTCCCCATGCGGGGTCACGCGGGGTCGTGCTGTGCCCCTCGTCCCCAGTGCCCATCACGGGCGCAGCGGAGCGGAAGCGGCTGTCAGATGGAATCTGGGTGCCGGCGGTGACAGCGCAGCGGGAGGGGACCGTGCCCGGCCACGTGGCTGCTTATGTAAGGAGAGTGCAAGGGAGGACAGCGAGGCTCTGGGGACACCGGCGAGGGGACACGAGGCCCCCGCCATGCCCGTGGGCACAGACGCAGAGCACCGAGCGGGGGGACGTGGGAGCACAGAGGTGGTGCCACGCTGCCTGCGCTGCCCCATCCGTGTGGCACTGCGAGGACAGCCCCAAGATGTGCCACCCGGCACAGGTGGCCGCGGCCTTCTGCTCACATCCCCTGTGCCACCTTCATGCAGTGCCATGGGGGGGCCCACAGCAGCGCACTGCCACCCGCATCACAGCTGCGTCACTGCGGTCACACGCGGCCACCGCTTCCTTCCAGGCACCGCCGGGGCTGCGTCATGGGATGGGGGGGACGTGGGGACACCCCCCCCCCCCCCCCAGGGTTTTGCCCCAGCCAGGTGGCAAAGGACACAAAGTCCTGGGACAGAGAGCAAAGAGGAGGCACCAAAATCTGCCCCCCACACCCGATGGCTGCACAGAGCAGGAACACGGGTCAGCCCTACAGGAGGAGAACAGCACCCTCTGGGCCCTCCATCACCCCAACACCGCCGGCCTAGGGGGGGACACATGTCAGAAGTGGGGGGACAGTGTCTGGATGGGGAAGAGCAACGGCAGGGATTGGGGCACCCAGAGATTGCAGCCCCCCTCCCCAGCGCTGCAGCCCCAGGCCCCCCCGCAGCCGGGAAGCTGCAGAATTAGGTCAGCGCTGCCGTTATTTAACACAAGTGGAGGAGCTGGGGGGGTGGGGGGGCTGAGAGGCCAAGCGGGGCCAGCCCTGCGCCCACAGGATGGGGACACAAAGCCCACAGCAGCAGCACAATTAAGGAGGACTTTATTAGGGCCAAGAGATGGGGGGACCCCCAGGCACCCCCCCACCTCGGTGTCCCCGCACAGCTCTGATGGAGCCAACCCCACAGCCAGTGGAGGAACTCACCAAGGCCGGGGGGACCGTGGGGGGGCTGCAGCAGGCACCACCCTCCCGTTAACAACAATTAATAAAATAATAACGATAAAACTGCATACGATTGCCTCCAGGGTGGGAACTGCGCCGAGCATCTGCAGTGCCACCACCCACCCATGGGGCCACCAAACCGCTGCCGTGGGGCTGAGGGGGCTTAGAGCAGCCCTCGTGCCAGGATGCTGCCCACCAGCGTGGCGTCCTGCAGTGCGTGCTGTGCTTCCTCCTCTTCGATCTTCAGGGACACCTGGAGGGGGGACACAGTGCTCAGCACCTTGGGGCCGGCGTGCAGGGGCTGTCTGTCCACAGGGCTGCCCCCCCTACCTTGGTGAGGCGAGTGTCCTTGGCACGCTTCAGCTCGAGCACACCGCGGGACTCCAGCAGGGTGACCAGGGACAGGCACTCTGCCTGGTCCACTGCAGGGAGCTGCTGCTGCCGGCACACTCGGCTGTAGGCGTCGTGGAGCTGTGGGGCAGGGGGTGTTAGTGCAGCCAGGGGACCCTGGGGAGCCCAGGGGCTTCAAGGGGACAGTGGGTACCGTGGGGACCCCAAGGGGGACACTGGAGATCATAGGGAGCACAGAGAACCCTGAGACGCTGGGGACCTCAGGGACACAGAGGACTTCAGGGATGATGGAGGTTGTGGAGAACCCAGAGGACACTGGGGACCCTGAGGAGGTCACGGCCACCACTCACCTTGCCCAGCGTGACCTGGCGTGTGCGCAGGTGCCGGGTGAGCAGCAGCAGGGAGCACACGAGGACCTTCTGCTGCAGCGGGAATGCATCGCCAGCACCAGGGCTGCCTGCTGCCATCCTGTCCCCAAACACCTCTGAGAGGACACGGGACACCTGCGGGAGCCCCACTCTCTTGGGGACGGGGCTCGGCGCGGCTGTGGGGTCACCTGCAGAGCGGCAGAAGGGTTTCAGGCGCTGCGAGATGGGCAGAGGCGCAGAGCCCCCAGGTGGGACCACAGGGTCAGTGCCCCCCCCAGGGGTCACTCACTCACCAGGCAGCGGCTGCAGCAGGGTTTGGCTCCGCACGTCCAGCTCCACCAGCTCCACGGCACGCCTGAGGGCACAGCCCCATCAGCACCCAAAGGTGGGCTCGGACCCCCCAGCCCAACACCGTGCTCTGCCCAGCACGTCACACAGCTGCATGCTCCCCGCATCCCTGGCTGGGAGAAGTGGGGAAGCTCCACAGCAGAAAGCTCTGGGGAGCGCCGGCGGGGCTGCGCAGCACGGCTGGGACCAAGCCAGCATCACCGAACGGTGCGGCTCAGAAAAGCCCCCGCAGCCCCACACCCACCTGCAGACATCGAGCGCTTTGCGCGCGTCCCCGGACACAGCCGACACTTTCCGGGCGCAGAACTGGAGGGCGCTGGGCTCGAGGACGGGGCCGCCCTGCAGCTGCTCCAGGCGGCCGCGCAGGATGGCCGCCAGCTGCTCACGGCCGTATGGGGCGAAGCGCAGCAGGCGGGGGCCGGGCAGCGGGGGGGCGTGCAGGCGCGCCAGCAGGCGCTCGGTGAGATCCAGAGCGTTGGCCAACCCTACGATGCGCAGCGGGGTGAGGAAGGCAGGGGCTCTGGGTTTGGGGCTGTGGGGCCCCCGATTTGTATATATAAACCAGGGCTGGGAGCGCGCGCTCACCGATGAGGACCAGGCGGGAGCCGGGCAGCCGCGGCCACTCGAAGATGGTGTAGAGCACATCCTGCGCCCTGCTGCCCAGCTGGTCCATCTCATCCAGCACCAGCAGCCTGCGGGGCACACGGTCAGCCCACGGCCCCGCTGGGGACACCGGGACGCCCACCCCGGCCGTGTCCCCTCCCCCCCAACCAGGAGGTGACTCACAGCATGGGTCCCTTGGCCGTCAGCGCCCGCTCCAGCCGCCGTGCCAGCTCCCTGCCGCCCGCCCCGGCCGTGGGCAGCCCCAGCTGCTCTGCCACCGCGGGGAACACGGCGTGGGCGCTGCTCAGCGCCATGCAGTTCAGCACCGCGCTGCGGCTGCCAGCCAGCTCATCCTGTGGGGACGGGGCAGTGTCACACGAGGGTGACAGCATCCCACTGCCCACCCTGTGAAGTCCCATAGGAGAGCCCCATGTGCTCACTCTGAGCCTCATGCAGGAGGCATTGCAGAGACCAGGAGTGCGGTTAGGGGTAGCAGATGGGATCCCAAAAGTCACCCAAGGAGAACAGTAGGGGACCCTAAAACCCACCCACACTCAGGAGCAGTGTCAGGGGCAGGGGATGAGATTCTTCCCAAACTCTTCCAAGGACCAGGGGCCCTAAAGCCCACCCTAGAAACTGGATTAGGGGAAGAGGGCAGACCCAAAGCCCTCCATAAGCAGAGTCTCGGGCAGGCAAGTAGACCCTGAGCCCACCCCCAGGAGCAGAGTTAGAGTTAGGGGGCAGGACCCAAAGACCTCACCGGGAGAACGGGATGAGATCCCAAAGCCCACACCAGAACCAGGGTTAAGGCCACGGGACGGACCCCGAGCCCCCAGGGGTGGCGTTACGGGATGCTCACACACCTTGCAGTCACGCAGCACGCAGCTCACACACGCCGTTTTCCCGGTGCCGGGCGCTCCTGCAATGTAGAGGCTGCCGGGGCGGCGTGCAGCCACGTGCTCCTGCAGGAACTGCCGGATGGCGGCCGCCTCCTGCTCACGGCCGTGCAGGCGCTCGGGCAGCGCCGCATGCAGCGCACGCTTCGCCTGCTGGTAGCACGTGCCTGTGGCAGGGGTGTGAAAAACGAGGGGGATGAGGGCGGGCGACGGGCAGAGTCCATCCCCAGCTTTAGGGACACGTCCCACGGCCACCCACACCCACCTTCCTGCCTGAAGAGGCGGCTGCGGGTGGGTCCTGCGCTGCGCCCCGAGCTCTGCGGCGTTTCCTGCCCCCGCTGCAGCACGGGCAGCCCTGCAGCGTTCTGCTTTCCTGGGGAGGCCGTGGGGTCCCCAAAGAGCACTCGGCAGCTGCGGTTCTCCTTGCAGCGCTTGGCCGGGGAGCAGGGCGTGGCGTGGGGCACATTGCACAGGTTGTCATCGCCTGCAGAAGGGAAGCTTTGTGCCACCGGGGCGCCGCAGCCTCACATCAGGGTGCCCAGGGCCGGGGCTGCCCCGTCCGGGGGGCCTCAGGAGGTGAACGTTTCTTACCCAGGCGTTTGCGGGGGCTCAGGGGCAGCGCCGTGCTCCGGGCTGACGGCGTGACGGGGTTGGGCTCTGCGGGGCGCGGGGACACCGGCGAGAGGCGCCAGGCAGCGGGGTCCGCGGAGTCGGGCTTAGGCGGAGGGGTCTTGGACGGGGCAGCGGCACCGCAGCGGGCACCGCGCCGCCGGGGGAAGGCGATGGTGGCCTGGCGCTGCGGGCGGGCGACGGACATGGCTGCAGCCCTGCGGGGATGGAAGCGGTCACGGCGGGAAGCGGCCCGACCCCGAGCCGCCCCGCGCTCAGCTGCCTCCCCCCTCACGGCTCCCGGCCCTGCTCCACGCGCCCCGGCCCTACGGCGCGACCCCGAGCCGCCTCCCTCCTCCGCCGGCCCCGCCGCGCAGCTCTGCCCCCCGATCCCGCGCCGCCCCGCTCCCCAAGCGCCCCCATCGCAGCCCCCGCTCACCCTCTCGCGCCAACTCAGCCCTCAGCTCCGCAATTCCCGCCACCGGCCCGGACAGGCCCCGCCCCCTTCGCTCCATTGGCTGCGTCTCACGGCGCCGGCGCCAATCGCGAGATCTCGCGCCAAACCCTCTGCTGGGCGGGGCTCCGAGCAGCCAATGGGAGGCAGCGCGCGGGGCACGCCGGGAGGCGCAGGCGGGGGCGCGATGCATACCGGGAAATGTAGTCCTCCGGGCGGGACCCCCGAGCCCCTCCTCCACCTCCACCTCCACCTCCATCCCTCCGCGGCCCGGAGCCCCCAGCCCTCCCCCCCCGCGCCCCCAGCACCGACACCGCTGCACCTTTATTACTTTTATTTAAACGCAGTTCCAAGCTCACGGCTTTTCCCCTCTCCCTTTTCATCCCCCCCCCCCGCCGGGCCCCCCCCCGGGGGGGGGCCGCCCGCTCTGGGGGGGCTTTTCTGCCTTTATTTAAACCAAAGGGTCCCCCCCCCTCGCGCGGGGCCTCGCTCCCTCCTGGGGAAGGTTCCAGCGCCGTAGAAAACAAACGAACGAACGAAGAACGGTTAAAGGTGAGGGTTTAGTTTACCCCGCCGCAGCCCCCGCCTCCTACGGTACAAAACTGATCAGTAACGATGGTTAACGGGAGCCCGCCGCGCTGCGCAGAGCCCGGAGCCAGCAGCCCGCGTAAGGCAAAACGGCGCGCAGCCCCGGCCCCCCCCCCCCCCCGTTAACAGCCCCCCGACCCCCGGCCGCAGAGCCCTGCAAACGGCCCACGTCCATCAGCTGCCGCTTCCTTTTGGTCCCGCGGCGTTAGCACGGGGCTGCTCGCCCTCCCCGAAGCCGCCGTGGAGGCGCGGCCCCGCTCCCAGCAGCTCTACGAAATCGCAGTACCGGGGCGGAGGGATCCGCCGGTCCCGTCCCACGGCCACCACAGCCCCGCTCCGCTCTGAGCCCACGAGGACCCCCGGCACGGCCCTCGCCCGTGTCCGATCCCGGCGTTGCACTGCCGGGCCCCGGCCCCGCCCGCTGCCTGGAGCGCGGGATTCGACGTGGGGCCGCGGGGCAAAGAGCCGCGTGGGTTTGTGGTGAGCGTGGGCCGGGGGCGTCCGCTCGTCCTGGGAGAGCCGAAGGTGCCGGGAGTTTCTCATGCAGGTTCCTGGGGGCAGGGAGGTGGCGAGGGTCCGTCTGAAGAAGGGGGAGCAGCTCTGCGGCTGTGCTCAGGACCGACCGCCGGCACAGCTCGCTTTCACCTGGGGATGGGGGGCAGAGGAGGGGCCCCACGCGTGGCTGCAAGGAGAAAGCACGGTGAAACCAGGCCTCCCCCCGCACCCCCCCCCCTTCGCGCCACTCCAGAGCTGTGATGTGAGCAGCAGCCGCTGCGGCACGCACAGAAGGCTCGGGGCCTTTCAAATCCACATTAAACATTCATGGCTCTAAAAATAACCGAGCATCCCGCTCTCCCCAGAGTCCCCCCCCGGGATCCGCAGGGCTGGCACAATGCAGCAGCACGGCAAGGGCGCTCCATGCAGGATGTGCCGCATCCAAGAGGGGTAACGGGGACACAGGCAGCGCCGGGGGGGCTCCCAAACCCATCTGCCCCACAGCAGCGCTTCACACAGCGCATCCTGCAGGGCCACTCCAGCACCAAACGCCCTCAGCACAGGAGCACGGCCTGCCGCCAGCACACGCGGTGTCCCCAGGAGCACAAGTGGAGCCCAGGGAAGCCGCAGCACCCAGCAGCCCAAAGCACCCGGGCACAATGCCTGGCTGGGAGCGTGACAAGGACCCGGGTGGCTCTGCTGCCACCTCCCGCCTCTGGAGCGCGGCAGGGCACAGCGGGGACCACGGGATGCTCCGCCCTTACCTCTGTTGGTTTTGCTGGGGTAGATTCTCTGGAAGTATTTATATTCTTCTGGGGCTGGAAAGTCTTCGACGGGGTGAAACGAATATTTGGATTCAAAGTCATCTACAGAAAAAAGGGAGAAAAACAAGAACTGGGCAGGTCAGGAGCGGGCTGCGGATGGGAGCCAAGGCCGAAGGACTCGGCCCCCAGGGCTGCCCCCATCCCTCCCCAGCACACAGCCCCACTCACCCAGGAACGCTCTGACAGTGGCGATGGAGTCCCGGTGCCCGTTCCTCACCGGCGGTGGGGGTGGGGGCGGCCCGGCAGGCGTCCGGGTGGGCGGTGGGGGTGGCTTCCCGCGGCTGGGGGGCTCAGTAGAACCATGCAGTCTGTAGGGGGGTGGGGGTGGGGGGGCATCACGCCCCCCGTTTCGCAGCATGGGCGGCGGGGGCGGCGGGGCTGCAAGGAGAGCGAGGTCAGCATCTGCACAGTGGGACAAGGGGACCCACGGCGACACCCCCGGCCCGGCAGCGGGGTCAGGGACATCCTGCCCGCCAGCCCCAGGGGTGGAGGAGAACAGGGCCAGGTGGGCAGAGCCCCCAGCCCTGCCCCTCAGCCCAGAGGCCAAGCAGACCCAGGGGCTACCAAAAGAGCGGCCCTGCTGACTGCCCCCTCATTCCCACCCAAGTACGGCGGCAGGTCGTGCTCCTCGTTAGGCTAATTACACACAGACTAAGGCAGCGGAACGCCAGCCGTAACTCAGCAGAGGATTCTGGCAGAGCCTGAAGTACGGCGGCTTGGCAGGGACCCAGGCTGGAGCTGCGGGCTGGACAGGGAGCCCAGCAGCAGGCGGGGGCACCGGGACAACGCTGTCCCCTCTCCCAGCAGGAGACAAGGAGGGGACTCCACAGTCACCTCTTGGGAGGGGCCACAGCGAACACACGAATCACCAGGGCTGCATCAGGGTGTCTGAACCTCGCAGTGCCAAATCCAGCACACAGAGCGGGGCTGGAGCATTCCTGAGGCTCTGCTGCAGCTTTTTGTCACTGCCCCAGTGACATTTAGGAAGCTCAGGGGAGAAGCCACTGTGTGCAGTTCCAGCACGCTATTCTCCCACCCCAGGAGGACACGGTGGCCACTTGTGCTTGAGCTGCACAGCCAAGGACAGACAGAAAGAGCCAGACACAACCAGGGCTGTCAACAGAACGAGACGAGCCAGAAGCCACCCTGGGTCAATGTCAACGCCGACTGCCCCATGCAGGAAGAACCACCTCACTGCTTCCCAGCTCCAACGGCTCCCTGGGCATCTCCCATCAGCCACAAACAGCCCAGCCACTGCCCAGAAGAGCACAGTTCTCACCTGCACCACGGCTGGGGGGGTCCCGGGCTGGCGGCGGGGGGCGGCCGCTCTGGAGGGACGGGGAGGCCGAGGCGGGCGGCGGCGGCGCGAGACCCCGCAAGGGACCCGGCGTCTTCCTGTGCAGGGAGTTGTGCCTCTGCGGCAGCTCCGGGGCAGCCTCGGTGACGGGGCTGGAAGGGCCATTGGGGACGCCGGGGGGCTGCCGGTAAGGGGGCGGAGGAGGGGCGAGGGACTGGCTCTGAGCCCCCGAGCCCGTTCGGAGACTGACTGGGGAGGGCGGGGGCTTGACGGGTGGGGGGGCGGGGGGGCCGTCCCTGCCAGCAGGCGCTCGCTGTCCCGGGGTGGGCGGCAGGGGCTTCTCCCGGTTGTAGGAGGAGACCTTGGGGCCGTGTGCAGGCGGGGGGGCGGGCGGCGCGGCGGCACGGCGGCCCGGGGGGGGAGGCGGCGGCGCCGACGAGCTGTGCTTCATGCCGGTGCCACCGGCGGCGCCGGGCCGGGAGAGGTCCGGAAGGGACGGCCGCTGCGTGCGCGGCAGCTCCGGCGGAGAGGCTCGGCTGTTGTCAGAATCATCCTGAGGTCGGCTGTTGCTGGCCGGCACCGGGGGCCTTGGGGCAGCGGCTCTGGAGCCGGGGACTTGCAGGGTTTGCTTCCCGGATCCGTCTGCGGGGAGGGAAAGCGGAGTGAGCCACCAGGCACAGCAAGGGACGGCGCAGCCTCTGCTCGGGGCAGCCTGCCCGCCCTGCGGCGAGGGCCAGACCGCGGGGAGCGCTGTCTGGCACCGGCAGGGAGCTGGCACCGCGCACAGCCACACGCAGCTCCTCTCTCACCGCCCGCCGCCTTGCTGGAAGGCAGGCTGCCACAGAAAATAGCAGTGAGAAGCGTTCGGCAGCGCACGCAGCGCTGTGAGGAGGGCGGTGCGCTGGGGACGCCGCGGTGCGGAGGATGGCGCTGGTCTGCGGCCACACGTGGGTGGCAGTTTGGGGTCCCTGCTGCTAACGGCTGAATGTCCCACGCAAACGTGGCGGATCCTCAACCCTTTCCTGCTGGGGGACCTTCCACCCAGGGAGCCCTTCACTAACCACGTCTTGAGGGCCTTTACCTGAGCCGTCCTTTGCTCCCACAGGTCTGAGCTTGGGCACACCGCCTTGGAAGAGGCCGCCTTTGGGCTGGATCGCAGCTGAGCTGGAGCCGTAGCTGCTGCCACCGCTGCCCTTGGGCTCTGGAAGGACAGAGGCACAGAGGTTGTACTTGGTGCAATCGGCTCCTCCAACCAGGAGCCAATGGTGGGAACACAGCTGAGGGCTCAGAGCCCACCCTGAAGTGCAGAGCAGCACCCAGTGTGGGGTACAACAGGGGGGTACTCACTCTCTAGGATGGGGGCACTCCGGTCATTGATTTGTGTCACCTTCTTTAGCTTGGTCCCTTTACAGATGTCCTGCAGGAGGGCTCCACGGCCGCGCTGCTCCTCTCGGCTTAATTTTGGTGGTTCTGTGTTCGCCTGTAGATGAGAAGCCTCTTAGCAGCAGCTCACCTGCATGCACTGCAAGCCCAACCCGGTGCACAGCCAGGCCGGTTTGGGTAACACGGACGGATGGCAGCACGCTGAGGGAAGCCCTTACCTGACTGAAGGTGGGGGGCGGCGGGGGGCCGGGGGGCGGCGGCGGCGGGGGTGGGATCGGCATGGCGACCCGGCTGCGGCTGCTCAGTGCTGGGGATGAGCCTGGTCATTCATGCCTGTGCGAAGGGAAGAAGCAGTCAGGACTGTGGGGAAGGAAGAGAAGCACCTTGCACCTGGGGCTGCAGCCACACAGAGGACCCGGGGCTCCTGCTCCATCGCGTTCCCACCCACTGCTGCTGTGCCGTGCTCAGCTGGCAGCCAGCACACAGCATAATGTGTCCAACCCCACTGTAACCACCCCACAGATGCCCTCCAAGGTGTCTGCGTGAGCCAGCGGCCACACGAGCATTTCCAGCGCAGATCTGATGGCACTGGAACCCACCTGATTCCCAAACACAGGCAGCCCCTCCGCAGCTCAGCCCGAGCAGCTCTCAGCAGCGCAGCTCCCAAGTCCGGGTTGGACTCAGAGCAGGGACAGGAAGGAGCCTGAATCACCAGGAGGTGCAGGCTGGGCTCGTGCCTCTGACAGCAGCACCGTGGGTTGTGCCACCCTGGCAGCTCAGGGAATAGGAATGCAGGGATGGGAGGCCCGTGTGCACCCCAGGACGTTCAGGTGTCCCTCTCCAGAACAGCAGCTCCAGCCTCAGGGAAACCCGTGACACCAAGCAGGAGCACAGAAGGTTTGCACCCGCACCTTTTGCCTCCTGATCCCACATCCCCAGGCCATGAGAGCAGAGCAGCCACCAACATTTTCACACGAGTGAATTTCTTTTACAGACTCCTCCTCATCTACAATAAACTACAATTTACTACTGCTGCAGTACACAGAACCTGGAATACAATCAGGTCCGTCTTCAGGCCACATCTCCATATCAGTGCAGAGCGCAGGGACAACACATCCCTGCAGCCCCACGGCTACGCCAGCAGCTCCCTCTGCCCTCCAGCCAACAGCCAGAGCTCTGCAGCGTGAGAAAATAAATACATAAATCACCTGCAATTAAAAACAGCTCTTCTGCTGGGCGAGAAGCTCCTCAACAGCGAGTGGCCTTGCAAGAAAACACCGGGAGACAGAGGGAAGCACTTCCCTGCTGGCACTCGTGCAGCACCGTTGGCCGGCCCACGGCTCCAGCCCCCATCTCTCACACCACAGGGCCTCGTGCTGCCCGCTGCAGGCCTTGCTCTGACCCAGCAGGTGAGACCTGGCACACGCCACCCACCAGGGAGCCGCTGGGACCTGGAGCCCATCTGCCCACATGGGTGGGGAAAAGTCCCACAGCAGTGTCACCTCCCGTGGTCACAGCTGAGGAGAGGGGCGCTTCTACAAAGAAAACCATGAGTCATTATCTGCCTTATCTCACGCGGCCCTCGACTGCTGCCACGCTGAACGCCGCATCCAGATGAAGGCTCTGACCTAGAAGTGCGAGAAAGGAGTTTAAGCTAAAGCAGCTTGAGGATAAAGTGGAGCCGAATTCCCCAGAAACAGGTCATTTCATTGCAGCACACGGCCCTGCTCACATTGTGGATCAGCAGCAGAGGTCACATTGAAAAACAAAAATCCAGAGGCACCGAATGCAGCACACAGCAGTGCCCACCACTTCAAACCGTGAGAAACACCGAGACCTCGGGGTGGGAGCGCGGGGCGATCGCTGCCAGCCTCCAGCAAAGCCTCGATCTTTAATGTTCCTGAACACAGACACGGCTGATAAAGACAGGGAGACACAAGCTAAAGCTTCCAAGGGTGAAAAAGCCCCACGGGGTTCTCCCAGCACCGCTCAGCACCCCTTCATGTCTCACGTACGCCTTACGGAAAGCGGGCGCTTTGAAACAATGCCGCTCAGACAGCGGCTGCTCTGCATTTCTCCCCTTTGTTCCTCGGCACCGCGGCTCCTTTCCCCGAGCTCTGCTCAGCTCCACATGCTGCAGCAGCAGCTAGCTGCGCTCGCAGGGAAAGCGATTTGGAAGACGTGAATCAGGGCAGCGTGAAAGGCAGCCGTGAGATCAAAGCACAGCCAGCTCCTCTCTGAGCCAGGAGGGGTGGATCGGAGCTTCGGCTCTCCTTCAAAATGCAAACGAGAACCACGGAGCTGTGAGAACACCGGGAGGAAGGCGAGGTGTGAGAAGCCCTCGCTCCAGAGGAGCTCCTGCAGCCGCGGTGGCCCTGCAGAGCACTGCTCAGCACCGGCCGGGGGGCGGCTCTGCTGCCACAGCCCCCAGCAGAACCCCCTGCTGCCTTTGGGGCTCCAAGTGCCACCGAAGCCCTGCGTTCCCCCGCGCAGCCCGGCCCCGTGGGGACGCAGGACCTGAGATGTGTCCTGCAGGGCCTCTGTGCCGAGGGGAAGCGCGGTGCCTTCTCCCGACAGCAGCCCTGGATTCCGCTGCTGCTCACGGCGGGCCGAGGGCTTTTTTTAGCAGTGACCTTCAGACGCCGTTTCCGCGCTTTTCAGGGGATTTGGGCGCTGCGGCAGATTTCTGTTTCACAGCCGCGCTGCTTCCGCGGCCAGCCTGCATTTGCAAAGCCGAGACGAAGCTCCATCCTCAGGGAGGCAGCGGCTTTGAACTGCAGATCAAGAGGAATTTCCAACCCTCTGATGTCGGCTGCAGAATGCAGCTGCACCGGTTTGGGAGGCCTCCCCAGGCCGCCCCGGTCGCTCCCTGCCCCCCCCCCCCCCCTCCCCGCGCTCCTTTTCCTGTCCCTTCTTCCCATCCAAACCTCCCCAACCCCAGCGCAGCCCTCCCAGGCTCAGGCTCTGACATTTCTGCCGGTTTCGAGCGAGGGCTCGGGCGGCCCTGAAGATGTGACATAAATAATTTATCCCGAAAGACAGCCATCACAGGATTTAAGGTCACTCAGGCTTTTAAAATCGTATCAGCATGCTTTCAGAGCAAGAGCTGCCACCTCAATTTGGAGCGGTTCGGAGAGCCGGCGCATCTCTGCGTGCAGACAGGCAGCCACGCTCCGACCCCGCGGGACTCAGAGGCTCGCTGTGAATTATTCACAACCCACGGTCACTGACAATGAGCTCTGAACAAAACCCTGAACAAAAAGTTCCTAACGCCCCGGGGACCGACTGCAGCACCTCGCGCAGCCCCAGCTTCCGCTGCCGCAGCCCCAGCTCCGCCGGGTCCCCGAGCTGCACGATCGGCTCACAGCTCTCCGCAGAGCTCAGTTCATTTGGCAGAGGAAACGTTTAATCAGCGGCGAGGACTCACGTCCTGCCATTAGGCTGCGGCAAAGGACGGAGCAGGAAAGGCCCTTCCCACGGGGCCAGAACTTCCCTGCTGCTCCCGCTGTGGGTGCCGGCTTTGGAGAGGAAGGCGGGGAGGGAAAGGTGGCGCACGTGGCACCGGGCAGCACTGCTCAGGCCCTCGTGCTCTGACCATCATCCTCGATTGCTCCGGCGGGAGGAAGCTGAGGGAGACGTGAGGACTTCCCGACGGCTTCGAGGGCGACCCGTGGCCGGGAATAATGTGTGCAGCCCCGGAGAACAATGCGCCGCAGGGCGGGCAGAAGCGCTTTGTAGCGGCTGCCAAACACGCACCTTCCCACACCGAGAGCGGAGCAACAGGGGCTCCTCGAGGACAACGTGAGGCTCCACGCAGGATGGGAGCAGAGGGGCCCCGCCGTCCCCACGCAGTAACTCGTGTGCTGCACACATCGGCCGCCACGCGCTGCAGCAAAGCATCACTGCCTGCCTTCAGGCTCAGCCAGGCTGCAGGTGAAGCAGCACCGGCAAAGGAACGCCGTCTGGACCCGCAGCCTTTCCCACCGCCACTGCATGCAGTTCTGTGCAGAACAGCACCTCCAGCTCAACGCCCCCAGTAACACCAACAGCAGCCGTGGCACCCGCTGGGGAAACGAGACTGGGCTCAGGGCGTGGATGGGGCAAGTCCCACTGGAAGCATCCAGGTTATCTGGCACATCCTGAGCTCCAGCCCTGCTGCAACACGGCCCTCAAGGCCCAGCAGAGCAGCAGCATGGACTCCCAACCAACCACCCCAAGCCATGCTGATCTCACGGCGAGGAAGCAGCTGCTCGGAAGTCACTGCTGATTGCTTCCGCAGAGCAAAACCGCCTGAAGAAACGCACCTTTCCCATTAGCAGGGAGACAAATTAGGGAAAAATGCACAAGCCGCCATAGAAAACCCAGCAGTAAAATGTTATTCTGCGGCACACGCGCGTGCTTGATGCTTGAGCAAGACCCTAAAGCTGCAGACACCTTACAAATGGGCCTCATTGATGGCACACATCAGCAGGGTGCTCCCACAACAGCCACACGTGCACCAACGCAGCCCAGCGAAGCTCCCTCGCATGAGGTGAAAATCTCCAGGCCTGGGCACACACTGGGGCGCTGAGCAGCTGTTCTGTGGTGCAGGGCACCGAGCTGCAGGGGAAAAGCGAGCCAAGGGCTGTCAGAGTGAGCACCCTGCAGTGCCAGGTCAGCAGGTGCCAAGAACAGCTCTGAGTGCACGGCCAGCACAGAGGGGAAGGAGGCCTCGCTCTGAGCTGTGACCTACTAATGCGGGGTGACAGACAGAGACTCTGAGACACGGCCGCACGGTCCCTGCGTGCCAGCACTGCTGGTGAGCACGCAGCTGCCCCACGGCTCGGGATCTTGTGGCTCCTGAGCGGCCCCACGGCTGTCAGCTCACCTCACAGTGGGAAAGCAAAGAGGAGCACGAGCCTCCGCGCACCCAGCAGCGTCACACCTTGCCCCACAAGTATCTCTGCCCAGGTGCCACATCCCTGGCTGGTCCGGCCGGTGTTGCAGGTATCTCCAGGTCTCCTGACAACATGCTTGGGAGAAAGGAAGCAAGAAAGGGGAGCAGGAAGGGGCCGTGGGAAGCAGAACAGTGCAGAGCACGGTGCCTCGCAGGGCACAGAGCTGCAGGGCTCAGGAGTCTCTGCTGTCGGCACTGCAATGCCCACGGGCTGCTGTTCCAGCTCAGGAAAAGACCAATGCACATTCAAGCCAAGCCGGTAACACTGGAGCAGTGAGCCTGGGGAGCTGCGCTCATTCCAGCACTGCCCTGGCAGACGGCAGAAACCCAACACGCTCGGCCCCCCGCTCTGAGGGCACTTCCCCCCCCGGCTCCCTCCTCCCACCTTTGCTTCCCAGCAGAAAGCTACTTCTTTGGCAGAGCAAATCTGCCTTCCTTCCAAGCAGCCAGATGTAAGTAAGTAGGTCAGACAAGGACCAGAGCGCCTCCACGACAGCACTTTAGAGCAAAGCAAAGCGGGCAGCGAGCCCTGACCTGGAACGCGCCCTGGCACCCGCGGAGCAGGGCAGCCTGCGTCACTTGGAGGTAACGCGCCCAGACCCGGCTCCGCAAGGGCAGAAAGCCCCACAGCCTGGCTGCGCTCCTGCACGGCAGCCTTCATTTCAGGGCCTGACATCCTGCAGCTACAGCGGCCACAAGCTCTGCAGCCTCATGCACCGCAGCACCGGCTGGCTGGGAGCCGCGGGGAGCCGCACACCTACTTACAGCTGGAGGAATTAATTCAAACAGATCTCACACACTGCAGAAGCAGCAGTGCAGGGGGCGAAGGTGGCAAAACGGTGCCAGTCACCCATACTAACATCCCAGCACACGCTCATGGCAGCACTGGGCTTGGCACGCAGACAGCGCCGAGGGCCGGAGCCAAGCCCGCCCTCACCCCGCTCAGCACAAAGAGGGGTCTGTGCCGGCAGCCATGGGAAAGCAGGCTGTGTGCTCACATTCCTATGGGGCCAGGGGGCTCTGGTGCCAGGAGGCAGCCCCCTCCCACAGCCTCTGTGCTTGGACAAGGTGCAAGGAGGCAGCTGCACCCAGAGGCTCCCAGGTGGAGCAGCAGTGCTATAGCATCTCAGGGACGGAAGGTGCTCAGCAAACACGAACCAGCCCAGCAGCTGAGCTGTGGAAGCAGCACGTGATGCTGCAGTGTGCCCTGCAGAGCACAGCCCAGCCAGGCAGACAGACCGGCCGGATCGGATCCTTCACGGCCGACAGCAGCAGGGCAGCAACACCCACAACAGAGTGCAGGGCAGGCCGGGGCAGCACAGCCCAACAAAGCCAACTCTGCCAAAGGTAAAGCGGGGCCGCCTTGGGACAGCGGCACCTCTCCAAGCACGCCTGCAAGGGGCACCGGCTCGGCTGCAGCTCATGGAAATGACTGGCACGCAAAACCTCTGCCAGCAGCCGGTCCGGGGATGCCACCACATCGGCTCTGCGCCGGTCCCGGCGTACCTGGGAACCGCGGCGGGGCGACAAGGAGCCGGTCAGCTTCAGCTGCGGGGCGGGAGGCGGCTCGCACATCCCCCGTGAGCAATCGGCGGGATCCACACGTTTGGGGTAACCGGGCGGGGCGCAAGAGGACACGGCGTTCATCAGAGCGGGTCAACGGCGACGAGAGATCCGGGAGGGAGAGCGCAGGGACGCGCCGGGCAGCAGCGGAGCTCCGCGCACAGCGGCCTTCCCGGCACCCAGCAATGCGCGGCGATGAGCCGCCCGGTGCCGGCCATCAGCCCACGGGGTCAACCCGGGACAGCGCCGGGCCCTGTCTGTCTGTCCGTCCGTCTGTCCGTCCGTCTGTCTGTCCGTCCGGGGGTCGGCGGGACAGAAGCGGCAGCGGCAGCACGTTGGCAGGGCGACTCCGGCCGCCTTCACCCGCGGCACAGCTGAGCTCTGCTCCCGGCCGGCAGCCCGACGCACACGGAGGCCCCGCACCGGGACGCTGCGAGGACGGCACAGCCTCCGCGTAGGCCGCTCCCCAGGCAGCCCCCGCCAGGCCCCAAGGCTGCACCCCGACCCGGCGCTCCTTTCCCAACAAGGCCCGGCACCGCAGACGCCCGGCACGGCCCCCCCCGGTCCCCGCAGCCCCAGCCCCGCTCCTCACCGCCGCCCGCGGCCTCCGCCCGCCGCACCCGGAAACGCGGCCCAGCGGCGCCCTCCGCCTCCGGCCGCCCCGTAACAAAATGGCGCCCGCCGCTCCCCGACTGCGCCTGCGCGCCCGTGCTGCGGAAGTGGGCGGAGCCGAGCGCCACGTTGGAGGGGCCGGGCGGACATGTTGGGAAGGGCGCCGTGCCTCGGGGCCTCCAAAATGCCGAGGTATTTTGGCGGTCGTCGGGGCGTCCTGGGACGGATGAGAGCGAGGAGCAGCCGAAGAGAATGCGCTCTGCGCTAAGAGCCGCCGCACAGAGCCCGCAGACCGCGGCCCAACGCCTGCTCCTGTTATCCGCCATCTTGGGAAGGTCGCCCGGCGCTATTCCGGTGGCCATTTTGAGGCGATCACGTGGTTCGTTACAGCCGCCATGTTGGGGAGGTCACAGCGCCCCACTGCGGCCATCTTAGGAAGCTCGCTGTTCGCTATTGCGTCATCCGTGACGTCACCACCAGCAACGTGACGTCACGCACGCACATCACGACGTCACCCCGCGCGCCGGACACGTGCTCGGGACTGCTGTTTATTGGCGCTCAGGCTCTTTTTTTCTTTTTTTTTTTTTAATCCTTTTTTCCTCCTTTTTCTTAAAAAATAAATTTACAATTAAAGACGCATTTGGTACAAAATATACACATTCTGGGGCCCAGGGCCCAGGCGGAAGCGGGGACGGGGCCATGGGGACACATACAAAAATAGAGGGGGCCCGCGGGGGGTGGGGAGGCCCCAGGGTCCCCCGGGCAAAGTGCAGAGTGCGGGCGGGCGCCGCTCACTGCCCGCCGGGCTCCAGCTTGTAGGACAGCTCGAAGAGCAGGTTCTGGTTGTCGATCACCTGCAGCTGCCGCACGTAGGCCTTGGTCTGCAGCTGGCTGGGGGACGGCTCCAGCTCCAGGCCTGGAGAGCGAGGGAGGAGAGGATGGCGTGGGGCTGTGTGCCCCCCAACCCCACAGGAGGGGAGCCCGGCCGCATCCCATGGCCTCATCCCGTGTCCTGGATCCCTGTCCCTGAACCCCGTGGCCCCAGCTCCACCTGGATCCCCGTCTTGGATCTCACCCCCGCCTCCACATCTCCATCCCCATCCTGGAGGATCCTGTAACCCACCCCCAGCTCATCTTGCCATGCTGGATCCCCATCCTGCATTCCTACTCCAGCCCGGATCTCACATCCCCATCCCACAGCCCCATCCCACAGCTTCCCCACCCCAGCAGATGTAGGGCCAGGATCTGTGCCCCCACTCACACAGCGGGCGGCTCCGGTACTTGCGGATGGTCCTCACCTTCTCAGCAATGCAGTGCTGGAACACACAGCAGCCCCGTCAGCTCCCCCAGAACCCTGCAACCCCCCCCATTCACCCTTGGGATGTTTCTGTGGACCCCCCAGGACCCCCGGATTCCCACTGTGCCCCCCCTGGGCATAGCACCCACCAGCTTCTCCACGTTGACCAGCCCATCCAAGAGGGTTTTGCTGCCTTCGTGCAGAAAGGTCAGATCTGAGAGAGACAAGGAAGTGAGGGCTGGCCCCATGGGGAGCAGCAGGACCCCCCCAGAACGTCCCCCCACCGCACCTTTGAGGATGAGCGGAATGAAGGGGATGAGGGGGGGCTTCATCTTGGCCAGCACCTCCCGGTAGGTCTTGTGGTTCCTGCAGGGGTCCTGGGGAGGGCAGTGGGGGGGTCAGGGGCGTGGGCAGCTCCCCCCACACAGGGTGCACCAACCAGCCATCCACAGAGAGCAGACAGCCCCAGGAACACCCCGACCTGCTGCTTCCAGAGCTTCCACGGAGCTCCCTGATGCTACAAGCATCCCCCCACACACCCCCATTACAAGCAGACCCCCCCACGGAAGCCCCAGACCCCCGCGCTGCCCCTCACCGTCAGGTTCTCAAATTTCCGAAACAAATTCTTGAATTTCCCTGGGAGCTTCTGCAAGACAAAACCCCATGGGGGACTGTGAGCAGCTTGGGGGGCCGGGGGGCCGGAGTGGGGGGTCCCGCACAGCCCCTCACCTCCCAGGTGAGCCGAAGGCGGCTGATGGCGGCGTTGTTGAGCCCGATGACGATGGCGTAGAAAGAGAGCATGTCCTGGTTCTGCTTACATCTGAAGGCGGTGGGTGAGTCCCAGCAGCCCCCCCCCCCCGCGGCCCCCTGCAGCCCCCAGCCCTGCACTCACATGGCAGCGATCTTGATGAGTTTCTTGAGCAGATGCGCGCGTCGACCCAGCGACTCGCAGAGCAGCAGCTCCGTGCCCACCCAGTGCTGCACCTCACTGCACCGCTGCAGCAGCAGCTCCAGGTTGGCCGTCTCGCGCCGCCCGCGCTCCCCATGGAAGACGTAATCCACAAACTCCAGCTGCGGGGGGAGGTTGCGGTGTTGGGGGGTGGGGGGGGCGCCGCAGGGACCCCCATTGGGGCAGCCCTGGGGGGGGCACCCCCGGCCCCCCCGACCTCGTGGATGCAGCGGAAAAGCTCCCAGTGGAAGGCGGTGAGGTGGTTGGCGATGTCCTCGGGCTCCACGCGGTGAATCTCGCTGTCCCCGGGCACCACCTGGATCTCCTCTGGGAGCGGCACCTGCAATGGGGCGCGGGGGGGTCCGGGGTGGCTGCAGGATGCGGAGGGGTCTCACTGCGGCCCCACCGACCCCCCCGGCGCTCACCAGCGACTCGAAGGTATCGCGGGTGCAGGCGAAGAGGTGGCTGTTGATGCCCAGCGTGGTGAAGACGCACTCCTCGCTGGGCTGCAGCACGGCTTTCTCTGCAGGCAGAGCGCAGTGGGGAGGGGGGGGGGGTCAGCGCTCACCCCCCCCCCCGCGCGCCCCCCCCCCCCCCCCCCTCCACAGCCCCATAACCACCTCCGGACGAGGCCACGGTGACGAGGATGAGCGCATCATCGCGGGCGCTCTGCTCCTCTGAGTACTGCAGCTTCTCGGTGACGGAGGTGAGGATGTCCTGCACTGAGGCCGAGAGGCGGCTGCGGATGGTGACGTACGAGTGGTCCGGCATGTAGACACGGCAGAAGACTGCGGACGGACAGACGGATACGTGGGGTAGCAGAGCGGGCCAGGACCCCCGGCGGGGCGGCGGGGTCACTGCGGTCGGGACCCCGGGGGTTTGGGGCACGGCGCTCACTCTCGTCGGAGCCACGGAAAGCCACGCGCGTCTGCAGGCAGGCATCGATGCGGCGGAAGTGGCGGAACAGCGGCTTCACCTGTTTGCTCGGGGGCGGGGTCTCGTCGGGGACCCTGCGGCACCGCGTGGTGTCAGCAAAGGGCACCGGGGGAAACGGAGCGGTGGGGGCCGCACACAAATCCCCTCCCCGCTCTGGTGGGGTATCACAGGGGCGGTCTGATGGGCCTCAGGTGCAGGGCATTCTCGAGGGTCGCAACCCCATGTGTCCCAGAGAAACCCCGTGGGGACCCCGCACGCCCCATAGAAACACCTTCCTCTACGCAGGGACTTCACTCGCTGGGGTACCCCTCCACCCCACAGGACTCCATGCACAAAAGAGGGACCCGCTCACAACCCCTGTGCTCCATCAGGACCCCAAGCACCCCACGGGGACTCCATGAGCCCTATCAGGACTGCATGCACCACACAGGAGCCACCTGAACCCCTTCAGAATGCCCCGTGCACCCCCCCCCCCCCCCCCAGGTACCCTCTGCACCCCGTCAGGACTCCATGTACTGCACTCCCATCACCACATCGGAGACCCCTGGCACTCCATGGGGATCCCACTCACTTCAGCTCCACCGTCTCGACCAATTGGTGCAGTTTCAGGATCTCATCCTCCAGCTCGTGGTACAGAGATGCGTCCTTCATGATGAGCAGGTACAGCTCCTGGGGGGCGAGAGAGGTTAGGGGCCGGCGGTGGGGGGGGGGGGGGGGGGGGGGGGGGGGGGGCCGCGGAGCGGGGAGGGCTGCACCCACCTTGATGACCTTCCCCGCGCTCTCCTCCTCCTGCAGCAGCCCCTTGTAGGTCTCGAGGAAGTGCAGCAGCACCGCCAGCACCGCTCGCTTGCGCCGCAGCCCGGACCCCTCCTCCCAGCGCTGGGGCGGCCCATCGCCCGCCAGCACGAAGGTGGCAGCGTTAAGGAGCAGCGGGGACACGGGGACCTCCTCACACCCGGGGGGGGGGCACCGCGATGCCCTCCTCACGGCCGCCCCAACGGGCGCCCTCGTGTCACCCCCGGCACAGCCGCTGCTCACGCTGATGTCACCGTCACACCCACCCGTGTCCCCCTCCCGGTACCCCCACCCCTTTTTTTCTCCCCTGCCCCCCCCCCCGTTCCCACCTTCAGGTCCTCCATCGCACCCTCGCACTCCCCCCGTGCATCTCTACGCGCCCCCTCCCGCAGCCCCCCGACGTCCCCCCCAGCGCCCCGAGGATATTGCTGGTGCAGCTGCTGCAGGAAGAGCTCGGTGGGCAGGAACAGCGAATGCGTGAGCACGATGTCATCCAGCAGCGAATCTGGGGGGGGGTCGGGCGGGGGTTGGGCACGACACCTCCACCCCAAACCCCGCACCAGGCTCATCCCCGCGCCCCACGCGGAGCCCCGCGCTGACTCAGAGCCCCTCCCGCTCCGCAGCGCCGTGGGGACACCGCGGGGCCGCACCGGGACGGTGACATCGGGGGACGCCGCAGAGGGGCCGTCCGGGCGGGCACTGAGGCACGGGGACGCGGTGCCGGGAGCGGTGCCACGGCCGCGACCTTTGGACGCGCAGTGCAGCTCCGCGTCCGACCCCGTCCCACGGACACAACCGCGGGGCACCCCTCCCCGCAACCCCCCCCCCGCACGGAGCTCCGAAAGCGGCACAACGCTCCCCGGGCACCTCCTGACCCGGACCCCGCACTGAGGCCGAGGTGGTGCGGGATTGTCCGGGCAGGTGCGCATCCCCAGCCCGCCGTGCAGCGCCTCCGGAGCGCTGTGTGGGGGCGGCGCCGGGATCCCCCCGCGGGTCTTCGCGTCCCCATTCCCCCCCCCAGCTCCCCCCCCCGAGCGCCGCCCCCTCCGTCCCTGCCTCGGTTTCCCCACGGCTCCGCAGCACCGTCCGGGTGCCCCGCAGGGACAACGCGCGGCTGAAGGGCCGCCATCCCCGCACCCCTTGCGCCGCCCCCCCCGCTCCCC